CGGCGGAGGACCTTCTGATTCCCCGCCATCCGGGGATGTTTCGCCCAGGGGATCCGACTCTTCCGGCCCGCCTTCCTCCGCCGAAGTGGAACCTTCGGGCATTTCATGTCCGCCCTCGGAAGCCTCCCTAGGGGCGGGCGCTCGGTCACCCTCCTGGGAGGTCGCGCTTCCCCCCGATGATCCGCTCCTGGTGGAGGCCATGCCGACCGATCATCCCCTCTACGGGCTGGACGTCGACGGCATGCTGCAATCGGACTGCGCCTGGATGCAGTCTCAGTTTTTGTCTTTCTACACGGAGTCGACGCGGAGATCCATGCAGGCCAAGTTCGCCAAGTTCCAGGCGTTCTGCGCCTCCTTGGAGCTCCAGGCCCTCCCCGCCCGCCCGGCCACGATCTACCGTTACATCCGGTTTCTGTGGGACAAGGAGCCCGGCCCGGCGGAAACGAACTCACTGATGCTGACAGAGCGAGTGCCTCCCGTACCCTTGGCAGCCCTTGGGCCCGGCTCGGCCAGCGGGCCCCCTGACGCAGGGGCTGCCCGCATTACGACGTTTTTCCTGCTGGACATTGGCGCATGAACGTCCATTACGATGGGCCTCTGGTCCCAGGGGCCGGGGCCACTGGTTAGTAACCCCCAGTCACGCCGTTGCACGGCTGGGTGGCCCCGAGATCGCCCATGGCCAATGGCGCGCCAACCTCCGCCCCAGGATCAAGCTACCTCATGCTGAGGTAATCCTCCCAGTGCAAGGCCGCGCTTGGCGCCGGCCCGCCGCCCGCCCCCACGCCCACAATCCTCATGAATGTATTCGCCCCAGGCCATGTTCCACCACTACAAGCGAGCCATGGCGGCCAGCGCGCGCGCGGCGCTCCTTCTGGGCTCGCTGCTGGCGTTGCTGTCGCTCGAGGCGGCCGCCATGTGCCCCTACCACATGCTGTGGATGGAGGGCTCGCCGATGAAGCTGCCTGACGAGCAAATTGCTCAACACAGCACCGCGCGGGGTGTTCAGTTTCACCGGACGCTGCTGCAGAACGGCGCTCCCGAAAACCGCCAGGCTGACGGCAAGGTGGAAGGGGTCGAATTCCCCATCGGCGGTGGCTCGTGCGCGTACACGAACCCGATGACGCAGGGCAGGTCGTGCATCCAGTTCACCGGGGAGTTGTGGGCCAACGCGCCGGGCAGGGCGGAGAAGAGGTGCACGGTCGAGGGCCCGTCGCCGGGGGCGACGGACGGCGAGTACGCGGCCGAGGCGCTGTGTGAGGCGTTTTCGGACGCCGACTTCGCCGGCGTGTGCGTGCTGGACGCGGGCGAGGCGGAGGAGGTGCGCACGACGTTCCTGAGCCGGGTGGGCGAGCCGGCGTCGTCGTGCGAGCAGCTGAAGGCGGTGTGCGAGACGTTCGTTGGAGGGATCTTCGACGGGCAGGGCGGCAAGTGCGGTGCGGGACCCGCGGCAGACACAGATCGGGGTCCTGTCAATACATCGGCACCGTGCCAGGTATGTGTTTTGTGTGTTTTGGCCAGCTGGCTGCGGCACCGCATGTGTCGTAGAGACGTGCCGGCGCCGCTGCGGAAACCTCGCGTGCTGCGGTTTCGGTTCTGTTGCGCGTGTGGGCGGTCAGCGCTGCCAGTGGTGACACGGGCAGCCTGGCATGGACAGCAGGCCGTGTGTTTCGGTGTCGATGTGCATCCCGTTGGGCGCCGCGTGCCCAGTGCTGCACGACGCGCTTACGGTGGCGCATTTGTTGCCGTTGCCTGCCGTTGCAATGTTGATTGGTACCTCGGCTAGTGATGATCAAAGGCTTCGATGCGCACAAGCTCCCTAAAAAGCACATCCTCAGCTGTGATTGGAGAGCACACGTTGGTTTTGCTGCTCGTCCTGAAAGTTGTTTTGCAAGCGGGCAGTGGTGTGTTATGGCTGCCAGAATCTCTGGAATTTTTGTAACAACACGAAATTCGATGCCATTGGAAACGTTAAAACACTAATATTCACTCGCCCTTTCACAAAACTATGGTGATGATGTGATGCACATGGTCAGCCCGTTCTGCAACAGAGGATGTTGGAACGCGCCTATCTCAAGTGCACGTTAATGCAACCTCGATACAAGAATGCTTGAACTCTGCGGAGTTGCTATCGAAAACAGTCGTCAAAGTGATGCTGAAAAACAACTTACCTGACACAATGCTCTGAATCGTTTGCAACCAGCTTTCTCCTGGAATCGCTGGAGGTGGGCACATGCACATCGACTCTCATTGGGACTCCACTTGCGAGAACCAGGAAAATGAGTATGCGCAGCCTTTGAGGTGGGCAGCCGACATAGAGACTGTGCTCATTCAGAAGGGGAGCAGAACAGTCGGCCGGATTTACTACGACATTGCAAACAATAGGAAAAGGCAAGATTGGCTGCATGTTGAGGGCAATGAAGCATCTCTGCTGTTTGGAATCAAGAACGCAACCGCTGTACATGTACATGGGGAGCTCTCCATAATGGATTGGGACAAGGGTGTCTGCATCAAGACCAAGGTGCCTGTGGGCAACTTGCGGTCCAATTGGGTGCTGGACAGCTATGGTGCAGGAACCGTATCCCAGTACCTGGGCCCAGGGTACATCCTGTACAATGGTGCCTTTCGGCATGTTAGGCAGTGGCGCAAGACAGAGCCCCTGGAAAACGCCTTCATGGTCCAGAGCTATGACGAGGAGCAGGAGTGGGAGACGCCGGAGGGCATGAAGCGTCGCCCCCTTCTCAGAGAGACCCCTGGGTCTCCTGGCCAGGGCGACGCCATTGACATCTTTTACAACCACACTACCGAGTTTGAGGACAGCGTGTTTGACATCCTGGACGGATTAGATTGCAGAGCGATGGAAGGGGGTGGAGGCGGTGGCTTCGGCGAGTTGAACACCAACAGCACTTTCCACATAGACTCTTCTTTTGTGCGAGTGGATTGCGACGACTGTGGCCTTGTCTACAGTGACAAGGAGGCAGAGGACAACGTAGCTGATGCGAAAGCGCCAAAGGGCAACGCAACGTACCTCAATGGCACGGAAGTCATAAGGCAAGAGGGGCTCTTGGAGCTGACGTGGGAATATTTTCCAGACAGCGACACTTTCTCTTTCAACTTCAAGAGCGAAGTGACGGGGAGCTGGCTCGCGCTGGCATTTCCAAAATTCAGCTGTGCAATGGTGCCCGCCGACGCTGTCGTTGCAGTGCCAGGAGATGATGGATCGGAGGACGATATCTCCCCTTACAAGATGGAAGTGGCTGCTTTGAGCGGCGTTGTTCTGGACAATGGTCAGGTTCTGGAGGATGCGACTCTGACTAAAGCCGATGGGATGCAGGAGCTGTCGTTTTCGAGAAAGGCTGACAATGGGGGGGAGAGCGTTTTAAATCCCTTAGCACCAATCGACTTAACTTGGGCAATTGGATCGGATATGGCCCTTGGGTACCATGGGGCAGACGGCAGGGGTTGTTTGACCATCAACGGGGTCGAATCGTGAGTTGAGGTTTTCACTTGCAGAAAAGTCGAATTGCTCGAATTGTATGGTGCATGTATAACGGTTACGACAGCATTGTTGGAAACTGCTGGGCCTAAGATAGGAATAAGTTTGAGCTGTATGCGTTCGGCGCTGTTGTACAACGTAGGACATGTCATGGTGGCAATGCACGCTGCGCTTCGTGACTCTGGTTAAGTATCAATCCGCCTTTCTCAAGATGCGAATCGGGTGGCGGAGGGGCAATGGACAATTCTTTTAACTTATGAGGCTCTGGCGGGATGGCTTTGGGACCAAATTGCTCTTTAGGCGGGATCTGACTACAAAGTTGAAGTTGCCAATTCACCCGCATTAAGGCTATTGTGGCAGGTTTACACGGTCTTCTTTGAAATCCGTGGAAACGGCCATTAGTCCTCATCAATCCGTGCCCCCAAAGTGCCCTGTCACTGAAAAGATCGACGACAAGTCTACTCAATCGTGGTGCTGCCTGCGTACGTGCAATACAATCTGCCATGTCGAGTTTTATCTGGACTCCTTCCCACAATATTGATATCGGTGTGTATTCATAATCCACGCTGCAACGTGGAGTCCATCGACCGAATCTATCTTTGAGAACATGTCCTCAATTGCTTCCTCAGTGCACCCCTCAGTGCGCTTGCGGGGGGCGCAAAACAAAATGCGGAAAATGTAAAAATGCAAAAATGTTAAATGCGAAATGTTACAATGCAATAATTTTAATGATGGCCGCTGTTCGGGTCGCCAAAGGATGGGGCAAATCTAACATAATGACTGGCAGTCAATTTGTGTGCGCACTATCATAAGCTGGCACTGTTACGGCTAGAACTGATTGAGTGTTATAAATAACTGAATGTATGAAAAGATGACGAAGCACTAGGAATTACATTAAGGATGTTGATGAACGGACTGGGTATAAAGGACAGAGCGTCTGTTGTCCTTTTGCCTCGGCTGTAAACCGTTGCCGTGGACTTGAGCGTACGATTCCCGTTCAGGGATCGCCACCCCTCGACCCTGCCTGCTTTCGTCATTTGGCACCCGAGGCAGAAGGTGTGCAAGTCGAGACACGGACCAGGTTAGCCTGTTGCAACCTGGGGCGGACTGAGTGCCAAGAGCACTAGAGTTCTACGTTGCCCAGGCGACGTTTCCGAGAAACTTTTTGGGATCGAAGATTCAAGACATCCATCGAACGGTTGGTTACGACGGGACTCTAACGACCCAGAGTCCATTTCGTGTGGCCCTTCTGGAGTGTTTTGGCAAGAGCGCCAGCGGTGATCAGCTGTCGCTAGGCGTGGGGGTCAGTTTTGGGTCAAGGCTTCCACCGTTGACTTGAATACGGAGAGAATTGTACGTTGCGAGTGAGTCCAACGGGCAGTGCGACAACGTGTCACTGGTGCGCCGTAGCAGAGTGGCTCAGCCGCCGCCAAAGGGATCAATTCGCTGACTGATTGAGCCTCCTCCCAAGGGACGACGCGCAGTGCAGCACCACTCTCGTAGTGCTGTGCTACGGCTTGGAACAGTACGACGTGTTGTGCTGCGACGGTGTCGGCGATTCATTGTGGTTGCTGATGTGTCCAAGGGATCACGTGTTTGCCACACAGCACACACGTCCCCACAGTGAGGATTGCGTGACAAGGAGTCAGCAGGACAGCAGCTTGTGTCAGCTTGTGTCAGCTCGTGTCAGCTTGTGTTGGCTTGTGTCAGCCAACGGTGTAATCCTACAAGGTGGCACATCGTGCTGATACAGTGAAGCGTCACTGCTGGTGTCGAGCGAGCAACGTGGCAGGGCGCGAGCGGCCCATGTGGCAGTGCTAGTACATTGAAGCAACATGGTGCACGGTGTCAAACCAAAGGCACGTCCCTTCACAGGAAGGGGAGAAGACCCAGGGGTATGGGTCAAGCATTTCCTACGGGTAGCAAGGAGTAATGGCTGGGACACGTCAGCAGCAAGGATTGCTAATGCTGCTGTAGTTTTTGAACAAGAGGCAGAGACATGGTACAATAGTAGAGCAGCACATTGGGAAGGTGACGAACGTACATGGGATGAGTTTGAAGCTGCATTTGTCACAAGATTCAGAGCACCTGGGTATTTGGAACAGATCGAGTGTGCTTTGCATAACCCAAAACAAGTTGAAGATGAATCAGTGGCCTCTTATGCTGAGAAGTACAGATGTTTGCATGCTGAGCGGGAAGCACTTGATGGGGATGCACTTCCCATCAGTGCACTTCGACGTTATTGGGTCATGGGCTTGAAGAAGGAATTCCGCTTGGATGTTTTGAAAGCGGATATTCCTGATTTTGACCATGCAGTGGCAGAAGCCAAGCGAGTAGAGAAAGCAACGCTTCTCATGGAAGGGAAGTTGCCAGCAGCTGGCGAGCTTATGAGAAGTCGAGCCATGACGTCAGACAAAACCGACATTGATGGGCTGCAGCGAAACGTGGAGAAGTTGGCACAATCAATGAGTGAGCTCACTGCCATGATGGTCACATCGATGGGCTCGAAAGACCGTGCAGAATCGAGTCCTTTTCCTGGAAATTTTGGGCCAGCCAATCGTGGCAGAGGTCGTGGAAGAGGTGGAGGACGCATGACTTGGAGAGAGAATCAAATTGGTGGCAGAGCTGACTACAACAACAATTGGCATCAAGACAATGACCAAAACAATGTTGGTAGAGGTCAGCCACTGACGGGAGCGAATGCAACACCTCTTGGAACGGCTGCAAATGTCCGAGCTGAGGACATTCGGGGTCCTGATGATCCATCTCAGAGCCATCAACGACAATCATCAGGTCGTTGCGTGAATGGCAAAGGAAGCCATGATGCTATGACAATGGAACTGGAAGCATTTGCTGGTGAAGAAGCGATTGAAGAGGACAAAGAAGAACCAAGCAAGAAAAGAGTCCGTGTCAGGCGTGTGGGAGAACGGAAGAAGCGTACTCCATTGACAGAAATTGTGTGTGGCCGGGGGAAACCCAAGTTCCAAGTATCTGAAGCTTTGTTCAATCTACCAATTTCAATTTCGCTGGGACAGCTGCTCCAAGTATCCCCAACAGTGCGACGTGAATTGCGCACTGGGATTGCCTTGGATAGGCCGAAGAAAGCAAAGCCAAAAGGAGAAGCTATGGATGTGGAAGGCAGCTCACAACCTCAAGGTATGAGCAGTGCACAACCAGGCGCAAATACACAACCAGTCACAAGAGCACCAGAAGTGATGGCAGCTGAGGCTAACAAGTTGACAACCGAAAAGGCAATCAGAATTGACTGCCACATTGCTGATCGAGCCTGCCAAGGGGTTATAATTGACCCTGGAGCAATGTTGAACTTGATGGAACCAGATGCAGCAAAAACGTGTGGATTGCGTGTTTTGGGTCCCAGTGGTGCTGTGGTGCGTATGGCAGATGGTGGGCGGCGACCTTTGCTTGGCTACGTCAAAACCCATGTTGATGTGGCTGGTGTCTCCACAGATGTTTTGTTCCATCTGATGCACACCAACGCAGGATACCCAGCACTTCTTGGTAAACCATGGTTGAGGCTTAATCAAGTGGTGTCATTCTGGGGCACAGATTCGCATTTTATTCAGAATGCCGAGGGCAGCTTCTTGCCATTGGTGGGGGTACCGACACAGCTCACTGACTCTGAGCGTGTTTGTGAGTTGCTTGATTGCATTACTCATGAGACGGGAGCAATCGCTGGCGATACTTCAGTGGCGACTAGTGAGTCTGATGACTCCGATGATTATGAATCAGACAGCGAAGTGACCGAAGAAGAAACAGAATCAGAAGAACTGGAAGAAGAAGCAACGGAAGGATATCTGGTGCTGGTGGGTCGTGAAATCGATTCTGATGAACGACATGGGCTGACCGAAATGCTGCCGGTACAAGATGAGCCCAAAGGAAAGAAGACGTTTTCTGAGTCAAGTGGCAACTCTGGGCTGGTTTATGATGGTTTCCCGCCAGAAGTGGAAGCAGATGCAAAAGACGTCAGCCAGAACACCAAGTGGATAAACAATCAAGAGGCAAGTGCCATCCACAGGGCTGTGTTGGCTACTGAGTTCGAAGAGACTACATTGAGCATCGCCTTGGATGATGTTTATGGAGGAGGAATTGAGAGCAATGCTCCAGCTGATGACTCCAAAAGAACCGGTGGGATGAATTCTGAGAGTATGGGGCTCCTGTGGGATGTTCGCAAGGCAGGTTGTGCTGTACAACCAGTGACGGCTGATGCAATTTATTGCAGGTCACCGGTTGTTGATTGTTTCCACATCACAGTGGATAATGTCGACACTTTGAATATTGGTGACGCAGCAACACCTGAGCAGCGATCAATATTCAACACCCTCGTGTGTCGCTATGGAGACCTGTTTGCTCATGAATTGAGCGAATTGGGTCGCACAAATCTGGTGCAATGTGACATTGAGCTGCAACCTGGAACCAAGCCCATGTGTACAAGAAAGAGTCAACGTTGGCCACCAGAAATCGAGGCCTTTGCAAGGACTCGCTGTGCTGAGTTAATAGCAGCGAACATGATAGAGGAGTATTACGGTCCATGGGGCGCAGGGACGATTTTCCCCAAGAAGAAGTCTGGTGCATATAGAATGTGCCACAGCTACTGTCGATTAAATGAGGCAACTGTTCCAATTCAGTGGCCAATACCCAATGCTGAAGCGTGCTTGGACAGGCTGGCTGGAAGAAAATACTACTCAGTGCTTGATGGTTTCAGTGGCTATTATGTGGTGGAGCTTACACCACGTGCTCGTGATTATACGGCGTTTGTTACACCGTTTGGCAAGTTCCGCTACACAGTGATGCCGTTCGGTATCACCAATGCACCCCCCGTTTATGCTCCACTCAATCAGCGAACTTTTGGTCCACTCATTGGGACTGAGGTGGAAGTGTTCTTTGACGATTGCGGAGTCGGTTCGGACAGTTTTGAGGATCACATGAGCACGCTTGAGAAGTGTTTTCAATGTTACAAAAGAGCAGGGATGAGTTTG